CTAGATGACCCACAGAGGTCCCTTCCAACCCCTACCATTCTGTGTGATTCTGTGATTCTGTAATTTCTTCTGAATGTTTTAAAGGAATAAGCAGAGATTCCCATGGCTTGGGGGACAGTACTTTGAGCAACATGTTATTTTTTTAGGATGCTATACACCTCTATGCTATACATAAGAACAAATTAATTGGATATTAAGAGACTTCACTCATCATGAGTATGTCAGATGTACATACAGCTGTTCAAGCATTGTCTTTAAACTGGATAAAAAGTTTGCAGAATCAACATGAAGGAAGATTAATAAATACCCATTCCCAGGCACCTGTTATTTGATGAACTGAAGTGTGAGCAGTGGGTCAGAATGAAGCCCTACTTATCCAAGAATAAATCTGAAGCACGGATATTTAAAGAATGCATGATATTCAGTATGTGGCATACTGCTTACCAAAGAGTCAAAGTAAACAACAAGCTGTCAGCTGTCATCGAACAGAAAAGTGAGATAAAATAATTCATAAACCCAGAAAGATAAAACAGTGCTGTAAAAGCTCTGTCTTTGTGTGGGACTGAAGACCTCTTTAAAAGATTCATCTAGTTATCAGAAAAAGTGTTACAATGGGAGTGAAGTTTTGATGGAGGATCTGTGAACCTGCAAAAAACATATCACACAGATGCTGTTCTAATTTCATTCCTCAGGAAAGACTATGCCATTGCCTCATGATGCAGAGAAGCCAAGGATTATGAAAGCAATATTTCTGTACATTGAAGACAAACATTTCTTCCTCTGCTTACGTGGACTTACTAGAGCCTTTGCACATGATCTTAGGTGAAAAGAAACTTTAACTGGTACCACTAGTATATTTGGCTAACATCACAGCAATATTCTGTGTTGCATTTTGTTTGTCACAGTGTGACAAAAGTAAATGAACAGCAATTTCAAAAGATAATGGCAAATATAACTATTTTGAGAAAATAGCGCACAATAAAAATGATCAACAGTACAGAAATATCAGTTTAAAACAGCTTTTTCACATTAATATGTTTAATATAAAAGTAATTATAGAAATCATCAAGAATTGTCAACAAAAACTTATGAGACCAGATTTACTTACCAAATTCCTTAGGAACGGTGATAGAGTAAACACAGTTGTGACCAACACTATAATTCTTGGGGTAATTTGGTGATAACACAGTGCCTTCAGAGCCTGTTGACCGGCTTCCACAGGGTGCTAGAAAGTGAAGATAATTGGTTTTGAATAATATAATATCACAAAAAAATTCTGTTTAAAGTTATTCGTTGTGTGTTGCTATATGCTATTACAGTAAATTTTATCACACTTCTGAACCAGATTAAATTTGTATATCCTGGGAAGTACTGAGTATGCAAAACCTTCTCATATATCAAAAGAGAATTGATGGCACTCTGCAGTTTTCCAGATCAATTATTGTTCTTCTTTATCGCTTATCAGCCATCTTAATAAAATAATGATATTCTTTATACACAGTAGTCTATTATTCACAGCACACAAAACTATTATTCATTCGTACGATGCATTATACTCTGATAAAGGCACAGATTATATAGCACTTTTGCACACTAGTAAATTCTTATTTGTTCCAATAGACGTATAATTCAAGATAATGTACAGAACTACTCAAATAAGAAAGTCAGGATTCCTTGACTGAAAATGATGCACCATGTATTTATATCTCCATTATTTATAAGATTATGTATAGAAAGTTGTGAGCAAACACTTTTCTTTATCACATAAACATCATGTTTATTCTACGTTAATAGCTCTAATACTTGATAAAATAGCAGATACACAATGCTATTTACCACAACAATGTATTTTTCTAAGGTTAACAATGGAAGTCATCATTTGAGAGTATTCAAAACTGTGAAGCAAGAAACAGTGCTTTTTCTTCTTTTCCTTCATCAGATGCTCATGTGTATTTGTATGAAACAGTCATAGATGTTAGTGTTTTCCTATGTCTATTACTTGCTTCTTATACATACTTTGTAAATTAGTAGTTGAATCTATTGTCAAGATTCTGGCATCTGTTTAGAATATCTCTTCTAATCACTTTGGACTATAAAGTATTTTTTAATGAGTTTATAGTTAACATATCTATTTAACTAATTTTTCTTGTCTGTTAAGAAATGACTTTCTAAAATAAGTACCACTCAATGTTTCATTTACTAAGAACAAAAAATCTGTTTTTTGTGGTATGCTCTCAAAACATTAACATCTTCTGAATTATATTAAGAAAAAGATGTTTTTCTTACTATTGTTTCAGAAGATTTTATGTCATTACTAGTCATTCTAAACATATGTGTTAATGTAGCTACAAACCATGCATTTTAACACTACATTCAATTCACACAAAATGTAAGGTAGAGTATACCATGAAAAAAACACATATTTTAATGCTAGCAACTTAAGGCTCTGATGCTTTGAGCATGGATTTCTGTAATTCGCATTAACAAAGGTTTCTTTCAGTCTGGTGCAGGTGCCGAGTTTGACAGACTGTGTACCTGAAATGGGAGCAGATGGTACCTATTTCTCCAGTCTGCGTATACAATTAGCAAACAGTTTAATGGGCTAGTGTGAAAGTCATGGTATTTGAAATAGGTCAATAGAAGGATCTTGACTTTTGCTTGTGCATGTGTGCATGCATGTGGTAGAAGTGGCACATATATTAGAGACTAGCAAACGAATCAGGACCCAGAACAGGACATAGTCTTGCTGATGCTCAGTACAGCTTTACCAGTATGGACCCACTCTGAGACAGAGAGCAAGCACTAAGACTACTATACACAAGATTGTTTTCTATGGCTACATGAATAACCTCAGTGTCTTGCCTCAATCTACAGTCATGTAAAATATCAGAAATTCATGCTTTCTTGTGAACAAGTGTTTAGATAATAGAATTGATATTTTTGGCCAAGAGGCAAGAGTCCTGGCTGAACCTCACATCCAGAGACTTACTTGCTTTGAGTTATTTGAAAAACACAAACTAGAAACTCTTCACTAGCTATATGTATTAAATATTTTTGATGAAAACAGAGCTGCTTATTAGCTTGTAAGTAGTCAAGATTTTCTATTCCAGATTTTGGATGAAACAGAAGAGAACATGGAAGAATATAAGCAACAAAAGGACTAAAACCAGAGAAATAAGATTGCCAAAAAGCTTATTACTTCTCCCTAACACCATTTCCTTCTTCACTGTTTGTAAGTTGAATATATGAGTTAATACAATAAAGATGAGTAATACCATCCCACTCCAACACTCATATCAATATTATACTTCCCTAATCAGCAGATGTACAATAATGTGCAAATGCAGGGTAAAATCATGATTCTATTAACATCAATGCCGTTGACACAAAAAGGGATAGAATTTCACCCTTAACTTTTAATAAAACTTGGAGTAATAACACGCAATAGTAATAAAATTGAGTTAGTAGCTGTATATTAGTACTCAGCATATAGTGGACCATTACTTATAAAGTCTATATTTTTTATACCCCTGTTCTTTTCTATTCCTTCAAGTTATGCAGTTAGGCAAGGTATTTGTGATTTTACAAAATTACGAGTATATTTAAAACAGAACAAAGAAAGAAAACCCAATGAGTTTCTTTTAAATAAACATATATTTTTTTTCCATAAATTCATTTAACATGCTTAATTTTTCAAACAAAAATAAAATTTACTGCAAGTTTTACAAATTTTTATTCACTTTCCTGTAATGTCTTACACTAAAAACTGTTGCTATTAATATCTGTGTATATAAAATCAACAGCAACATTTGAGAACATTTTTTTAAAGCTAGGAAAACAGAGAAACTAATTATGTTTGTGTCATACACAAGAATTTAAGAAAGCTAGTATGCTTTTAAAGTATACTTGATTCTCTGAGATAGAATTATTATTTAACTATGTATACGTCAAGCCAAAATACTTCACAATATGCGAAAGGTAGTATTATCACAGCTGGTGTAAAAATAATCACCCAAAACAATTTCATTAACAAATGCATGTAGATTTTTAAAAGTGATTAAAACCAGCAATTTTTACAAATTAAAAAATGATGCAAAATGCAGTTTTGCCTAGCTTGCTGAACTGCAACTTCGGTTTTATTTCTTATTGTCCTACTCTGATTTAATTGGCGATAAATTAAACTAATTTCCCTAAGTTCAATTTATTTTGCCCGTGAAAGTATTTGGCAAGTTTTCTCTCCCTGTCCTTATCTAAACCCATGAGCATTTTGTTGTATTTTTTCTCCCCTGTCCAGTTCAGGAGGGGAAGTGAAATACCAGCTTTGGTGGGCACCTGGCATCCAGCCAGGCTAAACCACGACAAGCACCTTCAAAAATCTGCGTGTTCTCATTAATACAAAAGTCTGATTAAAACAACTTCAATGTCTCCGAAACCTGAAGATAATGCCATTTTCTTTTAATAGTTGATATTAATTAAAATGTTTATATGACACATTGTCTGAAACATCTAAATATTTTTCCCACACATTGAATCCCATGAAAGCAATATACAGATGTATTACGTAGTAGGCACATATCTGGTCACATAAGAGGACAAGAGACACAGTACAAGGCTGGAAGCAGGATTTCCAGCAGGGCAGCTTTAGGTGTGAAGTGTCTCAACAGAGTTCCCTGCAGCCTGTGCTATGATGTGCTCAGTGCAGACTGGACTTATTTGTCACTCTGACATATGTGAAGTTTAATTTACAGCAACAATAAAATTCTTGCATTGAGTACTCCATGGCAGTTTATTTCACTTGATGTTCTCATTCTAGAATTTTTCATTCTGCCCTTTCTGAGTTTACCTTTTCCCTTATGGTCTCTCCCTGTTATTTTCCAACTGCTGCTACAATAACTCTATCCTCACAAGAATTCATCTTCCTGGGTCTCAGAAACAAATAGTATAACAGAAAGTTGAATCAAGATGTAAGCACACAGCTGACCTTTGCAATCTGAGAAAATGTTTAACTTCATAAATCTTTAGGTGATAAATAATTTAGGTCTTACAGCAGCAAGACTATCCTCCAAGACCTTTCTGAATGTATCAGGAAGGAGGAAGAGGTTTTTTCGGTATTTTAGGAAATACATTACCTTTTGGGAAATGCTTACTTTAAAATGCCAGAAGTTTCAGGAAGAGGAGATTCTACCCCAGCCAACACTAAACATTACTACTCAGAAATCAAAGATGGATCCGGGGACATGAAACCATAGCTATAGAGAACTAAAAAACATTAATTTGATACAAAACCAAAACACATTTTTGCCTCTGGAAAATATCTAGTATCAAATTGTCTGACTGGATCTAATTATTCCACTGACACAATGCTACCAATGCTATTTCTATTTTAGTTTATTCTCTGACACATAGAAGTACTTCTCAGTATACTGTCCTTGTCCTGCTTTCCAGGATCAGCAATGGGACACTAATAGGAGAGAAAGGCACTAGACTATGGTAAGAATGTGGTAAGAATGAGTGTTGATGCATTGCTCACTGTTTCCTTGAAACATTGTTAGGCATTAATGGCAAAAAGTTCCTTTCCTGTTTGTGCTGAATTTACTGTAATGGTATCTTATCTTGTAAAGTAGCAGTCCCTGCAACCCTTGAAAAAGCTCTGTCATAAGAACAATGAAGTATCACCTACTCTGTATCTTAAACTGGTAAGCTTTTTTACCTGGAAGGTTACCCATCTTGATTGTTATTACTGGTGCACCTTTGTTGAAGAACTAAATTCTACCTCTTTACGGCAAAGCATTCATAAGTAGAGAATACAATATAAAATGCATTACCATCAGCAGTGACAACTTTTGTCACATTTCAGCATACACCAGCAGTAAAAGAAATGTGGACAATCACTGCAGAGAGGCAAAATCACACAACGGAACCACAGATCCCTGTAATCTATGCCTAAATAAAGCAATAAAGTAAAATTTTCCATAGCTCCAGCAAAACATTACAGGGTTAAAAACCCCTGCCATGTCCTTGTTGTTCATATGTTCTCCATCATGCCTTTGCAGTTTACCAAAAAGAAAGAACCAACAAGAAAAAAACTTCAGTAAAAGAACTGTGAAGAATGGACTATGTAAATATCAGAATCAAACTCAGATATCTTAATCTTTTGAAGAAATGAATATTTTTGCTACTGAGTATTATTGTGAAGCTTGAAGCTTTTAATTCTGACTCCTGCTT